CCGGCTCTTGCGAGGGGACGAAGAAACATATGACTGCAGACTGTTCCTTTGTCCCCTCGCAATCTTCACATTGAGGGATTTTGTGAACTTTTTGAATGTTGGTGGTGGGGTTTTGGATAGAGTGGCGTTTTTTACGATTGAAGTGATTAATCGGTTGTGAAGAGGGAGATTTTCTCTCTACCACCGATTGTTAGGATCAAGGAATTTGAGGAAGTTGTTCTTTGCAAGCTGGCAATTGAGGTATTTGTAGAGTAGAATGAAGTATGTAATCGGCTCTTTGTTGTCCGAGTTTTTTATGGAAAAGAGCTTTCAGCTCTAATGTATCAATTCGTGTATACTGATTCGCGCCCATTTATTCTTGAATACCTAAAATCCACAATGTTTTGATTGTCAATGTAAGATGCTTGTTATGATTGTAATGGAAATCAATGCAGGATCATATGAATTTTGGGTTTAAAGTAAGGGAAATGCATCGCAATCCAAAAAGGGGCATGTTTCATTATTTCAAGAAAGTAAACTCTACAAGAGGCTATAAGTAATAACCTAGATATTTATGTAATCATCTAACACAGTTTTAAATTGCTATCCCCAGTTTGACGATTAGAATGAGGGTAAAGAATGTTAATTTGCCAATTAGAAAATCTTATTACGAACTTGAACTTATCCATTCCAGCTAGTTGACCATCCTTTCGACTCTGGGTAATAAATTAAAAAAACTACTTGTAACAATCGAAGCTTTCAATGCTCTAATGAAATTCTCAATTTGTGTAAAAATTGATCGATAACGAAAACATGAACTTAGAAGAACTCGATAGCATTTGTTAAATGCGAACAAATCGTTGAATAATCGAAGTGATTGCGATCTAGTGTGACACTTTAGTTAAATAATTCAGCAACAAAAATAGCAATCGGATGAGAGAAAATCGACCTGAATTGATCGCGCTTGCTGATTTCAGCAATTAATTGTTGCTGCCTCCGAGTTCTTCGATGGTTTCGTTCGAATCGACGGGTCAATTGGGGTTATCTTTGCGATCGTAAGTTGGATTTTGAGTAAGATCGAAACCCTAGAATTTGGATTTAGGAATTGGAAAACCCTTTCGTGAAAACGTTGATATAAATCGCTACTTATGCAAGAACAAAGACGACCCGCTTGACGATATATTGAGTAACTTCATAAATAACCCCCTAACTTAACATGGATTGCAATATCACCCTTCACGTCTATAACTATTTTCCTCATTGTTTTGACACTAACTAGCTATTTTATTGTTATAATATGTAAAATTAGGATAGAAAAATAAATGTTTTAATCATCATACATATAATTTTGTTCCAAAGTATTACACCCACTGAGTGACAATTTAATCGTAAATGAACATTGAATTTCTTTGTTCATTTATCTGTTTTTTTTTGTCGTGTCATAAAACTTTTAGTTACATTAATTTATAAAGAGCTATATATTCATAGAACCAACCTCAAATTTAAACAAAAACTTATAAAGATTTTTTCTGTATCAAACAACATCATAAATCCCAATAGAACCTTAATCACAGTCTAAATCATTGTCTTCAGCAGGGACGACTTAATCAGTTTGAGAGCTCTAAACGAATCAAAAAGTTAGGGACATTTGGCATTTCCTTTCAAACATGATTATTGATTATCTGATTAATAATAACAATCACAAAGACAACTACAAATGAACAAACAATAAACTGGAAGTAAATTAATGGATTATGGATTAGAAATACTTGTTGCTTGATAATAGAATATAATAGAAAACATGAAAACTTATCAGATTCTTAATCGACCTCGAGTCTCTACAATAAATACCTAATGATATCATTCGATATTAGGATCAATAAATAAGTCAATAACACTTATCAGATTCTTAATCTACAACAATCCACAATCACAAATGATGAGATTATGGATAATGGAAAACAGGAAACTCAAAACTAGAACTAGAAGATAATCAGAATATCAGATAATGGGAATTGGGAACACATATTGTTTCAGACTTTCAGTTCATCAGTTGAAGTCTTGCATTGCCGCCCCTGATTTGAAATTGACTGATCGAGAATCACTGAATCGAATCATCGTTGGCTGCTGCCATTGGCTGCGTTTTTGCGTTTCAGACTAGAATAGAAATTGGAGGACAGGAGGAGAAGCTGACAAGAAGGAATAAGAACTAGAATAGATGAGTTTTTGTGGAAATTGAATCGTCGCTTCGATTGTTGATTGTGGGCGTCAAGTCAGACGTGCGTAACAATCAAATGATCGATTCTCAGTTTTATGACTACAATTTAGTGAATAAGGTTTAAAATTTGGGGCCCTTTAGAATTGGGGACCCTAAGTCCTTGCTTATTTTGGCAAAAGATAGAGTCGGCCCAGGTCCTCGGTCCTCGATGTGTTGATCAATAATCATGAAAGTTGGTTCGGTTTCATTAAAAACGAAGTTCTCTCTTGTATGTGTGTGAATATTGTCTTTTTGGTGTGACTTGGTCTAAATGCATAAAGTGATTTATCCATCCCCAACTCTCGTATTTATAACCAAGATTATGGTTCATAAGCTCACTTTTAACCTCCATATCTAGGTACAATGACCAAAGTGTCCTTCCACCTTCTCTTTATTATATGTATTGGGATCTTGTGGTATAACAACATAAATAATTATAAACATAATTCATAATTGGAATAAATAAATTTATTAATTAAAATTCGAGTAAATTATATTTTGGTCCCCTAATGTAGTTTATTTTTGGGCTTTTGACATAAAAGTCCTTAAGTTTGTCAGATTTTGTTGATTTTGTCTCTGTGACGATTTTTTGTTCGTTAATGTTCAAAATTTGCCAAGTTTTTATTTTTATTTTTGTCCTTGCTACCTATAATAGTTGGTGTCCAGAGACAAAACCGACAAATTTAACAAACTTAAGGACTTTCATGTCAAATTTGGAAACATAATTAGGATAAAACAATATAAGATTTGTAAACTTAAGGCTTTTTTACAAATTTGAAAAACATACTTAGGGTAAAAACATAAAAAATTTGTAGAAATGACAAAAATGAAAAAAAAAACTTGGCAAATCTTGGACATTAACGAATAAAAAATCGTCACATGGACAAAACCAACAAAACCTGACAAACGTAAGGACTTTTATGTCAAAAGCCCTTTATTTTTTTCCAACTTGGTTGCAAAAACTTTTCTTTTGCAATTCTGGTTCTTATTTTAGATTTTTGTAACATTTTGGTTTGCATTCCAAATAAATATGACGATAACTTATCGATCAAAATCACACAAATCAAATATATTCAGATAAAAGAAATACTCGTTTATTATTTTACTTGGAACGGAGATCAAAAACATTACAAAAACATCAAATAAAAACTTAAATTGCAAAAGGGACTTTTGAAAACCAAATAATTGCAAAAATCAACTATACTTGTAAACCAAAAATATAATTTACTCTTAGATTTATCATCAAATTAATAGAACTTGTAAAATCAACCTTCAAAATCATAACGTTATTTCATGTAGAAACAAATGAAACGAAAAATCATGAAACGGAAAATAATAAAAATTGTAAAAACAAATGAAACAGAAAAAGAATATAACACAAAGGTTAGTTATGTTGCCAAATAAACTCAAGGGGCGTAAAACGCAATATGCAAAAAGCGTGTTTCCATACATCAATGATCAAACTTCATAGTATCACAACATTGGTCAATCATATAGGACAAGTGCATTATGCATCCTAGCCCTGCTTTTATTTCAACATTCTCACTTTACTATTAACAATCAATAACAATTAACAAAAACACTATTCATTTAAATAATAGTTATATCATGTAAAAAAATAAGTTTTATAACATATCATATAATCTTTTCTTTAAGTACAACAAAAATAGGTTCAAAGAATTGTTTTACAACATATCACAATCTTTCTTTAAATACAACAAGAATAAGGGTACACGCACCCCAAGGTGTCCCCCTACTAACATGTCCCACAATCAATACCGAATAAATGAATCACATCATTCGAACTTAACCTCATTTATAGATTTTCACCTCCTTCTGTATTTCAGATACTTTTTCCATACTAGAAGATGACGAAGAATCCGATAGTAAACGGACCCCGGCTTCATCCGCCATGTGGCGCATTACGTTTTCATCATCTTCAACATCACAATCATTTAATTTTATATCATCAATGGAAACAAAGTGGGCCCAATTTTTATTTTTCGCATGAATGATAAAAGGGTACAAGAAAAACCCTAGAACAATAACACCACCGGTCACCAAGAACGTTCTTAAGGAAGCCAAACACATCACGAGTACAAGTAAAGTAGCAGGAGGTACACACAACATTGTTGCACCAAATGTTTTTAAAGGAACTTTATAAGGTCTATGAAGATCCGGTTTCTTTAATCTTAGTTTTATAAAAGCTGCGAATGCGAATAGCATTCCAATTGCGTATAAAAAGTTGAGAAATTCCAAGATTTCTTGAAAACTCATCCATGATAGAAAGATGACACCCGTTGCTGAGCATAATATGCTGATTGTTGGTGTCCCGTATTTTGACCTATGAACGTATGCAAAAGAATAAAGAAATAGCAACATATTTTCATATATTTGTGTAATACAAAATCCTACTTTCATTTCTTTCTATTACAACATTGTACTTTCAAAACATTTCTTATTAAGTATATAACACATTACACTATTTGTTGCACCAAAATGATGTTTTTTTTTATGTAAAACGTTATTCATTTTCAATCCATTACACAAATTTTAAAACCAAAAAGAATATTATAATATATTCGTTTTTCTAACTTATATGGATTTTTAAAATACCCTTGTATGTCTTAGCTTTTTACATTGTGATTCACATCTTTATAATTACAATAACTTTATAAATTATATATTACTAGTCAATTATAACCCACAAAACTCCCGTTTCCCACAACATCGAATCCAATGTCTTTTTGGTACAAAATGGACAAAAAGTTGACTTTTTCCCAACTTATACAACAAAATGTTTTTTTTTTTATACAAAATATGCAACGATCGTTTCATTGTTAGGACCAAAATATGTAATATTTTTACCTGGAAGCAAATATAGAAGGAAGCATTCCGATTTCACTCATGCCAAGAAGTTGAAAAGCATCACTACTCATTTCAGCTTCAAACAACCCCAAATTCGACATAGCAGCAGCAGCTTGAATCCACCATTTTAGCCAAGAACCTCCAATCAAAAACCCAACTTCAGCAAAATACCCATCACTCCATTCACTGGAATCCGATTCCAATGACCCAGTTCCCGCCAAAAGTGGAATCAGATAAGAACAAACCACCACAATAACTGCACCATAAAGAGCTTTCGGAAACGTCCTACTTGGATCTTCAACTTCACCAGCTAATGTACTTGCTTTATCCCAATAATTCAAGTTCCAAAACATGCTATTGAAGTAACCCCTCCATTGAACCTTCTGAAATCCAAAGTTACCCAGCTTTTAGGCCGGATTTTGGGATTGAAAGAATACCATGACTGCAAATGGAAGGAGAGAGAAAGAAGCAAGAAGAACAGCAGAAAATCCGACGATATGAAGACCTCTGTAGTTCAGATAAGTTAATAAGATAGTAATTGCTAAAAGGGTTGGAATTCTAGCGTATAATTGATCGAAGATTGGGAGTGATTGCTTTAAGTAATCGAGAAATAATACAGGGTAAAGTGCGTTATCCATAACTCCACTAAACCATTTCCAAAACCCTTCTTGGAAACCCCAAAAAGGGCCGAACGCCGATGATATCCAGATGACATAACCGCCGTTTTCCGGGAAGCTTGTAGCGAGTTCGGCTGTGATTAATGCTTCTGGGATGCTCCAGAAAATGGGGAAAATTAAGAACCCTAGTAATGAAAGTAGAGCTCCGCCTCCGGATTTGACTGAATCTTCTACACCAAATGGACCCCCGGAAACTTCGTAGAAAATTAGGGCGATTAGAGGTAGTAACGTTAGTTTAGGGTTTGATTTCTTTTCTGTAGTGTTCTTCTGATCATTGCTCAAGGTCGTCTGTTTGTTTCCCTCCAAACCCATGAAGTTTGACGATCGAAAGCTTGATCTTATGGCGTATTAAGTTATCACCATGGTCATGATCGAGAAGTCGATGGAATAATTGGGATTAGTATGAAAGATTTTATGAATTGGGTTTTGATTGTTCGAGGAAGCAAGTGAAGATGCGAATGGAATCAAAGATGAATCTGTTTAGAGAATAATCAAATATGAGATATCTTTCTTGCGGTTTTTTAATTGAAGCTCGTGAAGTATGGGGAGATTGTTTGTTTGACTTTTTGGAGAGCAAGTTGTGAGACGCAATCTGTTTTCCCATGTCTTTGCAGCCACGAATTGCTTCGGGGGAATTATCCATCTCGCAAAACGATAGATCTTTGCCCACTATTATTTGCTTGGTATTTGTTTTTTAAAAAAACTAGTTATTATTTGCTTGGTATTTGTTTTTTAAAAAAACTAGGTGTGAGACTATGTATTACATGAGTTTATTTAAAAAAAATTAAATATAAAATTTTAACAATTTGAAAAGTTTGAATTTATAAGAAAAATTAGAAATTTTTGAGACTTTAATGTATTGAATACATTACATATATAAACCATTTCTAATAAATACCTTACATATATATTACCTTACATACTAAATGTGGAATTTTAATTTAATAAAATGAAAAATATAATAAAATGACAAGTGGAAAATAGAAAATTTAAAAATTTTAGAAAATGACATGTGTCCAAATGAAGGAGAAGAGGACATGTGACAAAAAACCTTCATTTATTAGAGTAGATTCTCTTTAGATTATTCATATCCATTAAGCATGCCTAGTCTTATCATATAAAGGAGAGTAAATAGCATAAAAAACATTCCGTTTACACCAAAATTCTAATTTGACACCGTGTTTTTTTTTTGTCTCAAATTTGACACTGTGTTTTCCAATTTGTTACAATTCTGACCACTTGACCGGTTAACCAGGTTACATGCTGACGTGGCATGATGACGTGTCAGTTTTGATGATGTGGCATGCTGACATGATATGCTGACGTGTCAAAATTGAATTTTTTTTCCACAAAAAACACTAAGTTTTTATTTTTTTTCGATTTTGACACTAAGTTTAATTTTTTCTTTCAATTTTGACACTATGTTTTTTTGTTCCAAATCGAACATCATTTATCAATTTTTGTTCAATTTTGACCATTTCCATTTCAATTAAAAACCATAGTTTTGTATAAATACAAGGTTTTTTTTTTTTTTTTTTTTTTTTTTTTTTTTTTTACATTCAAACCATAATTTATGTATAAATATGTATTAGTTATATAAAAACCGTATTTTATATTAAATACGCAACTTTAAAATGAGTTTGTAGGTTTGGAGGCGTGTAGTCGATTAAAACTCGGATGTCAAGTTTGCAACCCCTGAAATTTTCACATCTTATTAGAAGCTTATGGTTAGTTTGATTCTCATAATATAAACTAATGCATATTTATACATTATACTTTGAATGTAAAAAAAAAAAAAAAAAAAAAAAAAAAAAAAAAAAAACCTTGTATTTAAATAAAAATGTGGTTTTTAAACAAAAAAAATATATTTATATGGTTTAAAATGTAATATAAAATATATTTATACGGTTTCAAATGGAAAATGGTCAAAATTGAATAAAATTGGAAAAAATGATGTTCGATTTGGAACAAAAAAACATAGTGTCAAAATTGAAAGAAAAAATTAAACTTAGTGTCAAAATCGAAAAAAGTGAAAACTTAGTGTTTTTTGTGGAAAAAAAATTCAATTTTGACACGTCAGCATATCATGTCAGCATGCCACATCATCAAAACTGACACGTCATCATGCCACGTCAGCATGTAACCTGGTTAACCGGTCAAGTGGTCAGAATTGTAACAAATTGGAAAACACAGTGTCAAATTTGAGACAAAAAAAAACACGGTGTCAAATTAGAATTTTGGTGTAAACGGAGTGTTTTTTATGCTATTTACCCTATAAAAGGAAGCTATGGGTTTTAGTTTGACTTACCTCTTCTTTATAATTGTTAAACTTAGGCTGAGTTTTAGTACTAGCGTCAATGTGGGATGGATGCTACATACAGGAAAAGTAAAAACAACAAAGAGATTTAGGCTATATTTGGGGTACTAGCAAAAGCTACCTGATAGCTGAAAAACTAGCTGTTAAATAAAAGCTAGCTGATAAAAAATAACGTTTTGTAAAACTAGCTGAAAAATAAGAAATGACATAAAAAGACATTTAAAAAAATGTGTTTTTCTAATTAATTAAGGGGTATATTTAGAAAATTTTAAAAAAACTCCTAAAAAGCTAGTCTAAGTAGTTTTTTAAAAAGCTACCTTCTAAGTTAGCTTATAAGCTACTTTTTGGCTTGCCAAACACGACAACTTAACAAAACTCGAAAAATAAGCTAGCTGTGGCGCGCCAAACACAACCTTAATAATGCGACCTCAAGTATAATAGCCGAACACCTTGACCAGCAAACCAAACTACATTATATGTTATAAGGGAGGAGGGAGTCATTCCCTCCCAATCCACTGAACCCACTGTCACATCAATTTTTGTTTCTTCTTTTTCTTCATCTTTCCCAACCCACAACACACGGAAATCATATTTTTCTCAACCCACTCAATTAAAAAAAATACAAAACAACTAAGGTACAAGTTTTAAAACACATGGTACAAGAGAAAATGAGAGAGAGAAAGTAGAGACAGATGATGAAGTGTGTTAGTAAAACCAATTAAACAACCCGTTGAAGCGGAAGTGGTACCGGCGGTAACTCTATTGCTAATTAAGATTTTACCTTGATTGTTTTGTATTTTTTTAATTGAATGTGTTAAAAAGATAGGGTTTCCGTGTGTTGTGGGTTGAGAAAGATGAAAAAAAATAAAAAGAGAAAAAGTGATGTGGCAGTAGGTTCAGTAGGTTGGAGGGAATGACTCCCTCCTCCCTAAGTCACGTAATTAATAAATATATTTACAAAATATTCACAGAATAAATATATTTTGTATAAATCGGTTCGGGTTCGGTTTTTATCGGTTTCTAGATTTTCTAAAACCTAAACCGAAACCATATTACGCTTTCTAAAAATCTCAAACCCAAACCGCCTGTTTCTATTTGGTTTCGGTTTTACAGTATTCAGGTTCGGTTTTGCTCAACCCTACTGATTATAACAACATACTTTCACTTTTTTACTAGCCTACTTCAATTTCTTTACACAAAATAGCAATGTACTACATGGATACATATAAAGCACAAAGAACAAATTGTCGGTATTGTTAGCAATCTTTAAAAAGTAAAAAATATATATATGTTCAAAAACCGACTTTTAAAGTGGTTGGACCAGCTTGTTTGGGCTTTTTTTTGTACTGCTTTTGGGCATCAAAAAACTGGTAACTTGATAGGTTTCCGGTTCAACCTGTTCAATCGGACGGTCTGGTTGGGCTTTCAAAACCATGCCTTTTATATCATTATATCCTATAAATATTTCGTTGTAAAGAACCTTTGAGAGTCGAGCTTGATTATTTGTTATAAGTTCTTACAGTGTTATAATCATAATACAAAATTAAACCCTTAATTAATTTTGTTGCCAGAGGGAGTTTGACAGGGGTAGTTTTAGGGTGGGTCACTAGTGGCATCGGCAACCCTGATTTTTCTCGGACACAGTGAAAATTTTTTCGAAAATTTTATTTTTTCTACTATCGTGCAACCCTTGACTTTCCTGTGACATCCCTACTATGAAATATTGCATCCGCCCCTGGAGTTTGACTTTTAATAATATTAAGTCGACCTTTTATTAAGAGCTTAATTCAGATGCAAATAGAGCACCACCGTCTCGAATGTTGTGAACAATGTTACTGAAGCATAAGCTATAAGATTAATGAGATAGAAGTTTAAGACTACGAGTAAAAATTATAAAAATAAAGGTTTCATGTATAATAATGTTGTCCACGTGCCATGATTTCAAAGCTATATCTTACAAGTCCTGAATGTCAGAAAAGTTATTGTAATCATCATCTAATTTCAGTATCTCCTACATGCTATGGCATATTTCCATAATATATGGAGATCCTTCGATAGACTCGTGGCAGTTTTACACATTTAATCTTTTCTAAATTTTTTTCCCAACCTCTCCCTTGGAGTGACAATGACGCAAGTCGAGTAGTTCAAGGTGCCGACATCCGTCCATAATGGCTTGCAACCTGGTATTTGACATGAATTGTCCAATGAGTTCAAGGTGCTTTAACTCGGGTAAGTTTTGTCCAATAGCAAAAGCTATGCCATTACTGAAACGCCTGCCCCGTTCATAATTTATTTTCAGTGTTGACAGCCTGGGGCAACAACGTCCGACACTTATAATAGCTCCATGTGAGATGTTTGTTAGTGTAACGCCCAGGTTTCGGGGCTAAGCATTTTTAGACGATGTAATAGTCTAGGTCAACTATTGTAACTCTTTTTGATGTAATAAAGATGAAATATTTGAGTATTATATGAATTATGTGAATTTATATGCTTATTATTTATTTATAAATGTATAATAAATAAGGAATAAAAATAAGCGTCAAAATTAAAGTGTGAGATAAACCCGATATCTTTACATAAAGTGATAGTGGTCGAAACAAGGATTCCGGAGATATAAAGAACACCGAAATCCGAGTTATAACGAAGAAGTTATGACCCGTTGAAGTTTCACGACGGAACCGACACGATACCGGGAAGCGTAAATAGTGAATTTATGATAGAGCAAGTTTTAGCCTTAGCGACCTAAACGAAAGTCGTAGAATACGTTAAACCGATAGCGACCATAAAAAGAACGCCCAAATCTGACTTCGTATGAAGAAGTTATGATTTTTCGAAGTTTCGACTTAGCAGTGTACAACCCGAAGTTCGAATATTAAATCGAGTGGTATTTAGCCAACACAACCTAAACGAGAACCGAAGATCTCGTTAATAGTAGCGTTACGATAAAAAGACAGACGAAAACGGACGTCGGATGAAGAAGTTATGAATTTTTAAC